GTGGCCTTTATATCATAAGCCATTGCAGACACACTTAGGCCATCGCAAATTGGTCCATTTCGACATAAATGAGCCTTTTATGCCTATTTAATCTATTTTGATGCTCAATCACTTTTCCAAACTTCTGTAACCTTGTGTACTTTGATTTTAAATATTTTTAAGGGACTTAACTTATTAGTTTCATCATTAAAACTTATTAGTTTCATCATTAAATTATTTGGGATCCCATTGATTAAAGAATTTTGGAATTTGATTGTTGAATATATTTTTAGCCAAGGTTGACTAATTCATGATTTATGAATAGTGTTAGTTAAAACTTTAAATTCTTAAAATTGTCTACATCTTTTCATTTATATCATTATTAAATACCCTATATAAGAATAATAAATGAAGTAGGAGTATAGTAGGAAAAACAAATATTAAAATTATCCAATATTCTATATTTTAGACCAGGTAAGATTTGTAGAATATGCCTTATATTGTGATTCGGAGGGCGTAAATCACCATTATCTTTTATGATAAGTATGATAAAAATCAATAATATATGCCACAAATGTAGAATCATCATACCCTCCAAAAATCTCATGAATCAAAACTCTAGTCCCATGAACTAAAATACCATTTTCTCTTATGAATATGATGCACCTATTTCCCTTCACATTTTGATAATTTTATTCTTACATTTATTTTTTTAATTCATTCTATTCCATTCCTTTTTAACAGTCAAATGGGACCTTACTATGTCATCATGGACTTGAATCTTATCCATACCTTCTCTCAAGTGTCCATTTAACTATTAATTTGTGTGGTTTGGATGTATAAGCATTTGGACTTAGATTTGAATCTGAGCCAAATCCTTCATTTTGATACATAAAAATCTTTGGATTTGATCCTGATCGTGATCCAAATCTAAGCTTTATCATAGTTTTTTTAATCTTAAATTCTTTATAAAATTATTTATTTAAAATTTTAGTCATTCCAACCTCAATTTTTTACTATCAGTATGTGTATTATTCTCATCACTCCTCTCATCTTTCGCTTTTGTTTCTCACTACTTGAAGGGTATAGATAAGCTTGTCACTTTTAATCATCTATTTCCACTTCAAATCAGCTTATGTCTCTTTTACCTCTAACATATTTTACATTATCACAATAAAAGATTTTAAATATATGAATTTTAAATGTGAGATTTTAAAATCTATGATTTTTTTTATAACTTAAACTAAGATTTTAATCTAAAACTCAAACTCAAATTCAACAATCAAACATTATATTTAGTTTTATTATGACATCAAAATAAACATTCTGTCAATTTAATGACTACTATAAACTACTACTTTTATTTCGATTTATAAGATATTTATAGATATAATCATGTATGCTAGTAAAGTTCATTAAATACAGTTTACAATCTTATTATTTTCAAAATAAAAATATATACTTTCAAAATGTTCTTCGATTAACATTCCATTTTATAGAGAGAGAGAGAGAGAGAGAGAGTAATGAGAAGGGTAATAATAGAAAGTATCATTAATAAAATTTTATTTTTATTATAATATCTTATATTTTAAAATGTCTAATCTTTTTCAAGTGTCATATAAATTGGGATAAAGAGAGCATACTAATGTAGCATTATAATCATATTTTCCAAGACATTTAGGTGATGATAATAGATAATTTATTTATTTTAATGTCATAATTATCAAGTTTATACTATTAAATCAAATGAATGATTAAATGAATAGATAAGTGAATAAAAAAGGAGGTATTAACAGAGAGCATGAAAAAGGATACCAATCTGCGTCATCATGAAAAATATAGAAATAAGATGCATGCGGGTGCGTAGCCTCAGATTCAATTTCAATATAGAGTATTAGTAAAATGAGGTCAAGTATTTTATAAAAATAAATAATTTATAATGTACATAGAGAGGTTCACATAAAAAAATTTTCAAAATTATCAAATTAAATAATTACACCCAATTTTTCCCTTATTATAAGTAAAATATATAATATAAAATGATATAAAAATAATAATATTTACTCATTCTATTAAAAAATGTAAAGCATTTTTGAGGAATTGGATGGTAAAAAATATAAAACATTTTTAGTCTTTCAAAATGTAATCATTACTTTTTTTAAAAGTGCCTCTATTGATAATAATTTTATATTTATTATAAAATATTTAATAAGAATAAACATGAAAAGATAGTATTAGTTAAAAAGTAGGTAATTATTTTATTTGAGGTAAGATTCAATTAAAATTTCTTACATTTTTAAACTGAGGGATTATATAATATCAAACAATTTTTTTATTTAATAATATTTTATAAGTTATAAAATTATTTTTTAAAAATAAAATATACGGGTCTTTGTATTGATCGAGGTTTATGATAAATTAAGTTGTCCATGCTATAGTAGTTTCCTGTTGTATGCGACAGAGGCATACAATCATTATTGATAAGACAAGGGCACGCCTGCCCAGACCACAGTTATCAACTAGCACACTGTTATGGGTCTTTTCCTCCGTTTACTATTTCAACCAGCACACTTATGACGGGCAGAGCGAGGAATATGGTCTCGGCCAATCGGCTTATTCGTTTGAATCAGTTTTTTTTTTTTTTTTTTCCAGCTTTGAAAATTAATGTATTAAATTTTAGTACAAGAGAACTCTAAACGTGACGCGTTTAATTAAGTCGTAAAAAATGAATTTTTAATTTTAGCCTTTAAAATATGTGTTTGTGATTTAAAATTATTATGATTTATATTATTTATTTTGAATTTAACCTTTTCCAAGTGTTGTATAAATTGAGATAGAGAGCATATAAAGTTGCAATATAATCATATTTTAAAAAATATTTAAGTGATGATAATAAATAATTCATTTATTTTAGTAAAGTTATCTTCAACTTTATACAATCAAAATGAATAATTAAATAAAAAGATATATTCCTTCTATTAAAAAAATATAAAATATTTTTAATTGAATTTGACTTTCAATAAAGTAGTTATCTATTTTTCAGTTAACTCTATTTGTTTATATTTACACCTATTAAATATTTTATAATAAATATAAAATTATTATCAATAATGTACTTTAAAAAAAAATAATGATTACATCTTAAAAAATTAAAAATATTTTATATTTTTTTAATATTTAATTTTTTAAAAAATATTTTATATTTTTAAATGAAAGGAGTAATTAAATTAAAAAAGAGGTATTGATAAAGAGTATGAAAGTGATCTAAATCCCTGTCACCTCGAAAGCATAGAGGTAAGATGCAAGCACGTGCGCAGCTTCAAATTCATTTTCAATGTATAGATGATATGTATATGTGCGCGGGCGCACACACTTAACCTATAGATTATGAAGATTAAAAATTATTTTTTTCTATAGTAATATATATGGGTTGAGCTTTTTATTTGGAAGAATTTCAGTTAAGAATCATTATAAAAACTTAATTTTAGGTAAGTTCAATTTTTTTTAAAATTTCAGTTTAATTTAGAGAAAAAAATTAAAAGAATTTTGACGATGAAAAGACTAAAATGCCTCTCACCTGTTATATAAAATTATTAGTTGTTAATTTTTTTATTCCACTTATTAATTTACAAATATGAGTTATAAATTATATGAGTATTGATATGCATGTCAATAATTATAAGCGACAATATTGATTATTAAATTACTAACTTTATTTTTTAATTTATTAAAATTAGTTATAAATTATTGACAGATCTTATAATTTACTAATATCAATTATAAATTACTTATAATTTTTATAATTTATAACTGATATTAGTAAATTAACAAGTAAAGTTAATAAATTAACAATTAATATTATTAATTGTCTGTCAAACGGATGTAATTTATAAGTAATATTGGTAAATTAATAAGTGCAATAAGAAAATTAACAATTAGTGATTTTACATAACATATTAAAGATATTTTGATCCTTTTATCATTAAAATTATTTTAATTTTTTCTTCCTAAATCTAACTAAAATTTATAATATTTTTAGATTCATATGAAATTAAGATTCTTTTCTAATCCTTAACTGAAATTTTCCTTTTTTATTTTGTTTAAGGCCTGCATTTCTTTACAGAGTCAATTGGGAGGCTCATTTTGTCGCGCTTGACGGCTATATGTATGTATGTTAGTTTACCGTTGATGGAACTTTTCTTTTTTCTTTTTCAAATCGAAAACGAGCATCAAATCTAGACTTGAGGATCAAGCCTCAAATGCTAAAAAGTGAAGATACAATACAAGAATGTGAGGTCTTATGAGCACACACTTTCAAAAAAAAAAAAAAACAAAAAAACAAAAGAAATAGACATGGGCTTGAGGCGTAACGAAAATTTTGGGCCTCAAATTTCGCATAGATATGAGATGTTTTAAAAAATGAAAGGTAAGGAGAATTATGTTGAAACTCCGTTGAAAAGAATTAATTATTACAATGGTCACTAACAAGTGAATTAAAGCTGCAGTGACCTTAGTTCAATTGTTAGTAAATGTTGTAATAATTAATTTTTTTTATGAGACTTAAGTGTAATTCTTTAAAAAAATAAGCAAGATCTTATACCTCACGGCACTTCCATATGGATGTTTCTTATGACAGCAACAAATGGTAATGGAGTTTGGTGCAAGTATGTTCAAACTCATAAGGATAGTTGTGATTAGAAATATTGAAATTTTTTTTTGATAAAATTTATTGCCTACTTTTAAAGTCTTTTTCTTACCTGTGTAAGGTAGTTAGAAATATTCCATGCTAATTAACTAAGGATTAGAGTGGTAATTGTTTTTGGAGCAAGGACTTTTTTCCCCTCATTATCTAAAAGGAAACAAGGATCTACATCGCCTCGTTGCTTTCATTTCAAGTTGGTGGGCTAATTTATTAACCATCTTAATTTATCAATAAATCTTCTCGTTATAAAAATCCAAGCACCACAAACCCAATTTCTTGTACAATATCTCTTCTGTATCCAAAGCGCAGGCAATCAAACATGTTTCCTTCAACATTAGCGTTTCCTGCTGTCCTCTTCCTCACATTCTTATTCGTTTTATCCACTTCCATACTCTTTCCAAAACGACAACAAGATGATAAGAAACGACCGCCAGGCCCACCGTCCTTCCCGATCATCGGCAATCTCCACATGTTAGGCAAACTTCCCCACATCAGCCTTCGAACGTTGGCCCAAAACTACGGTCCCATCATGTCGTTGAAGCTGGGACAAGTGCCAGCGATTGTCGTTTCATCCGCTGAAGCCGCAGAGCTATTCCTCAAAACTCACGACGCCGTTTTCGCATCGCGACCCCAAATACAAGCGGTAGATCCACTTTCTAGAGGAACCAAGGGATTAGCGTTTGCAGAGTATGGTCCGTACTGGAGATATGTGAGGAAAGTGTGTACCCTCCATCTTCTAAGCACGTCAAGAGTGAAGATGTTAGGTCCTCTGAGGAGGGAGGAAGTGGGGCTGATGGCGAAGTCATTGGAGATCTTTGCGGCGGCGCGTGAGGTGGTGAATCTGAGTGAGGTGGTAGGGGACCTCGTAGAGAATATAATTTATAGGATGATCCTGGGATGTGCTAAGGATGATAAGTCTAACTTAAAAGGGCTTGTTGAGGAGGCACTGAGCTGCGCGGGACAGTTCAATCTGGTTGATTATGTCCCTTGGCTTGGTGTTTTTGATTTCCAGGTATGCTGTGCGCCAATGTTTTTCTCCAACTGGTATAACATATTGTTTTAATTTCGTTAACTCGCTATCATTTTCATGATTAGGGAAAATATCACTCCAAATCCTTGTACTTTAATGAGGTTTTGTTTGTAGTCCTTATAATTTATTTTCATGATTTTTCCTCTCTTTTATTGAAAAATACTCAGAAAGACCATTTGTTACGTCGGTCTAAATAATGTTGTTTTTGATTAGGTCCAATGTCCTTGTGTTTCTCTAATGCCCTTCTCCCTTTCACTGGCATGTCTTTTTAAGGAAATGATTCATTTTTCCTATTTTTTAATTAAATGATTTTTATAATTTTTACCACGCTAGCATTTTATTTTTTAGTCATTTAATGGGTTTAATAGTATTGAATCTATTTTAGCAAAATTAACATCATTTGAGTCATTTGATGATCGTTCATATTCTTGAAAATACTGAGACTAAAAACAAACATGGTCAATTAAAGTGGGAACCCGGGAAGTAGTTATTATTTGCCCAAAAATATGTGTTTATTCCAGAGGCATCCTTCTTGCCAAAGGAAAAATCCAATCGGCCAATTCTTTTTATCACTTGTGACTTTGTTTGGGGTGTGTGCTTACTAATATATTGTTAACTTTAATTGATGAGTTATTAAAGAGTGCTTTAATATTTTGTGCTAGGCAATCAATAAGAGTATGATAATAATTGGATTTCCTTCCATTTATCCCTGACTATAATTAGTTTTTTTCCCAAACTCCTCTAACGTTAATTAGTGTGTAAACTAGTGTGTATATGCATATGAAAACATTGAATTATTCATGTCAAACTTCAGATCTAATGATCTACTAGTATTTGACTAATACGCATGACAGGGTTTGACACAAAAACTAAGGAGAAGCATTAAGGCGCTCGATGATGTGCTGGAAAAGATAGTCAAAGAGCACGAACAAGAACAAGCTTCTAAAGAGGAAAATGTCCGGAACCACATCGACTTCATACACATAATGCTTTCTGTGATACGTCAACCAATGGATTTGCACGACGACCAAAACCATGCCATCGTTGATAGAGATCACCTCAAGGCTATTTTAGCAGATATGATTTTTGCCGCAACTGACACATCTGTCATTGTCATTGACTGGGCTTTATCTGAGCTCTTGAGGCATCCGAGAGTGATGAAAAATCTCCAAAACGAGCTGCAAGATGTGGTTGGAATGAACAGAATGGTGGAAGAGGCTGATTTAGCAAAGTTAGGTTACTTAGATTTGGTAATTAAGGAGACTCTTAGGCTACATCCACCTGCACCTTTACTAATTCCTCGAGAAAGTATGGATGATGTGACAATTAACGGATGTTACATAAGAAAAAAGACAAGGATAATAGTAAATGCATGGGCTATAAGTCGAGATCCTAAAGTATGGTCTGATGATGCTGATATGTTCTGTCCAGAGAGGTTCATTGATAACAATGTGGACATTCAAGGACTTAATTATCAATATTTACCATTTGGTTCAGGTCGTAGAAGATGTCCAGGAATTCAAATGGGTATGACTACAGTTAAATATGTTGTGGCTCAATTGATGCATTGCTTTAGTTGGGAGCTTCCTTATGGCATGTGTCCCAGTGACTTGGACATGACTGAAAAGTTTGGCCTCACAGTCCCAAGAAACAAGCATTTACTTGCTGTTCCAACCTATAAATTAGGCACGGACTATTCATACTGATCATGGTAAAGGGTTTTCAGGTGCTTTTTGTTTAACGTGCGTCCAGCGTACCTTTTCTGAAAATAAGGCTCAGATTTCTGGAGGAGTGATATATAATATTACCAAGATTCTTCATGTTGTTCCTTCGATTAAAATTATAGTTTAACTTGATGCGTTATATTGTATATGTTCTTGATCTCATTGGCTTGTAATGTTATTGAAAGACAAAGGAACTTTTCGTTTACGTGATTCTTGGTTTGATGCGTCAAGCATGTGTTGTTTTGGATTTGGATCTCTCTCATACTTTCTCCCAATACATCTTTCGATCATAATCAGTCTTATCCCTCCATTTAATTATTTGATTGATTTGATGGCCATATATTTATTTTATCATCACAATATTCCTTTTAAAAACATAACTTTATTTAACCATTAAATGAATTGAATATGATATTTTTTTGGGTGAAAGAATTGAATAAGATATTTAGTTTAGTGCTGTAATTAGCAAGCTTAAACCGTTAAATGAACCAAATGACTAATTACATGAGATGTGTATAAAAGTATATTGAGAGCGGACATGGAAACAATCCAAATTCATCTTATTTTAGTTTATGTTAATCACCTAAAAATATATATAAACTGTAATTTATTTCAGTAATTTAAAATATATAGTTTGATGCGTGTGTTTTTCTTTCTATTCTCGAATATATTTCTTTTTGGATAAACAAAGGTATCTCGAATATATTTCTCTTCTCTGGTATCTGTTTTAACTAATTGGTAGCATATGTGTGTGTGTGTGTGTGTGTTAATTGTTACACGTATAAGTATATGGATCTCGCAAATTTCGGGCCAAAAAAAAAATCTCCTAAATAGTATATTACAAATAAATATATTTCCTTTTTAGGAATTTGTTACCAAAATGTGATCAAGGGTCAAATTTGATACTTTAATTAGAGGCACAATTTCGGGTATTCCGGTGGGAGGAGAAATTTAAATTTACTTGAATTTAAGAAACAAAACAAAGTTTGAAGGAACTTTTGCACATGTAGCCCATTTAATAGAATCAAATAAAGATAACAACCCAACATTTTAAATATTTTGCAATGTGCCCCAATAAATATTTAAGTTAAATTAAAATAACAAAAAGGTCCATTTTTCTCAAATTTGAAATCTTGTTCTCATTTTCAATTCTAAAATATATTATACCCACTAAACTGACGGTAAAGTATTCAAAAGTTATGGAAATTTTACCATTATATTAGACAAGCTTTTTTTATTTGTTTTGGGAATAAAAAGGAAAAACTGCACCCCAATGCCAATTGATTGCAAATGGGCCACATTCCAGAATTAAAGATACCCTAAATATTATTTTTTTGCATTTTGCCTCAAATAAAACTAAACAAAACAATAGCTGAGTTATCCTGTACCAAAATAAAAAACATAGCTAAGTTGCCCAAAAATAGTTTGATTTTCTTTTGTCGGGCAAGCAACAATTCTTTATCATATCCATTATCAGAATAGTATAAATTCTTAATGTTGTACGTCTTCATAAAGCTATAAAATATATTTTAAAAACTGGATTGGATGATGAATTGAATAGGTCATCAGATCATGGCTCTTATGATTTAACCAATTAAACCAATGGTTAAATTGATAACAAAGTAATTAAATTAAAAATAATATTTACATGCGCATATATATATATATATATATCATTAAAAATATTGAGAATGATTTAGAATTGTTCAGTTATAATATATTAAATTTTAATTTTTGATTTTTTTCATATGTGTATTTTTTCATTTACCTTATTTGTGCTTTTAAAGAAAATAAGGTTTTAAGTTTCTCCACACTTTCATTCATATAATGCCAATAAACAAATCATGTATTGAATATTTTACTATATAACCAAAATTAAGTTAACGTTAATATTTTTAAATTGATTAAAAATTTTTATTACTAAAATAAGAGTAAAAAGTTAAAAAAATTCAAAACGGTCAAACCATGTTGGGTTTTGAGTTTTGCCGGTTTTTAAAACTTGATTGGGTCATAGCGAGTTAATCCAACTATTAGAACATAATAAATGAATAAATGGTTGAAGAAAACCAATTTTTTTACCAGTGACAATTTGACAAGTGAGTTGGAATGTGTCTCAAAACATTTAAACCTCTCCTTGTTCAATGCAGGGTTTTGGACAAGAAATCATACAACAAAACCGTTAATTAAATTTGATTTCGTGATAATTAAGGCCAAAATCAAAGCCAAAATGTGGTAGTTGAAATATTTAATCATTAATTATAATGACACCACCATTTTCAAAGATAATTTATTTAGTACAACTAAATTTGCCATCCCTAAATTAGTGCATTGCTTTAGTCTCTGGAGCTTCCCTGTTAGCATATATCTTAGTGACTTGGACACGTCGAAAAGTTTGGCCTCACAATTTGCCAAGAATCAACCGTTTGCTTGCTGTTCTACTGAAATTATTTTAATGTGCCAATTTTACCGTTTTATATATGCTTCATGTAAAAAAGTCGTTAATTTAAAATATGTGGCTTTATGATTGTTCTCCACTTCTATTGTCTCTCCCCTTGTTTTTATTCTAGCAAAGTGTAGAGTTGATAATATGAGTCAACTTATAACCCATGAGCTGGCGCTGCAGGCTTAGTGGGGCGGGTTGATATAGCCTACATTCAAGGCTGTGTGAGTATATATTGAGGTCTAAGGTGAAATTATTTGTAAAGCCTAGCATGTTTAATTGTCCCTTCAAAAAAAAAACCACTCATCATTTTTTACAAAATTATATATTAAAATTTTGTAATATAGCGATTCTAATAAATTATTAAATTAATTCAATAGTGAAATAAAAATTAGTATTGACAAAGTGCTCGTACCCCATCTTATATATTGAGATAGAATAGCACTAATATGGGATGGGAATACATTTTTAACAAAAAAAGATATAATTAAAACTAATAATATCAATGATTAGTGTGAAAAACTAATAATAATTATATAAATTATGAACAAAATTTTAGTAAGGCTTAAAGGTGCCGTGTTGATGGCCTAAAACTATACAAGGTCTAAATACTAATATCTGTCAATGTTTTAAGCTTTAAAATAAGAAAAGGAGAAAACAAAAAGTGAGACTATGAGAGAACTTTAAAGCAAGCTAATATAGTACAAATTAGTGTATTGTGGATCTCAATATATTTTTGTTATGTAGATAATGAACTCAACTCAATAATTAATATTATACAAGGAATGGTTGGAACTTTTCAACATGAAGAATAATAAATACTTTTCATTCTTTTTTTATCTACAATTAAATATACGATAATACAAATATCAATTACACACACATATATATAATAGGGGTATTAACAATTTTTTTTGGAGGCCTAAGGCAATTGCCTTACTTGCCTTGTAGCTTCCATGGCCCTGCCCGCATCTTGTGTAGATTGTATTTCTACCAACTTGCCAATCCACAACAGTTTGGTCGGTTAGCCAAGAAATATTTTTATGTACATTTTTTAATTTTAAAAATTACAAATTCATCATATTGTTAGAATTTTTATCTATCATTAATTATTAGTATCACATAATTAAACATGAAAATATAATTAACATGTAAAAGTCTAGAAAATAAAATAAAATTTGACATTAATTTGAGTAAAGGTTATTGGGCTAATCTTCTTTTTTTTTGGGTCTAGCTGAGAAATTTTGAGTTCATTGAAGCAAAATGTACTAACAAAGACAATACAAGGAAAATAAAGTTGAAATTTTTTCACAGCTTGACAGCCTAGTAACTCATAATTCAAAAGCTGTTGAAAACGATTTGAATGTTGATATATAAATCATTTTAAATGACTCTAAAAATGATTCATATACCACTCAAGACGGCACTACTTCAAATAGCAACATAACGATAAAGAGTTTGAATCCCATGTAACCTTAAAAAAAAAATAGATGGCTATATTGCTTTTGCCTACTTGAAAATATTTTACTCAAATTAAATTGTAAAAAAGTTTTTGGTTGGGTGCATGCTACATTAATGCACTCTACTGATCATGAATTTATAGCTATCTCAACTAATTAAATGTAATAGATAATAATGATAGTAGGTAATAAGCATGTAATTTAAATTATCCTAATAATTTGAATAATGATGAGGGTTTGAGAATTGAGAGAATGATCCTACGATTTCTATTTTGTTTTTAAAAAATAAGCGGCTCAACCTACCAACCCGTAGGCTAGCCTACTATGGGTTCAAGTTATGCAGGACAAGCCAAAATTGCTCTGCATAGAATTAAACCCACTTTTTTTTTCAACCCAACGTGCATTTTTTTGTGAGTTGAGCCCCCATATTACCAGCTATACCCACCCTAACCTGCCAGACCAACTTCCCGTTTACTCCATTTGGTGGAGTTGAAAGGAGGTAGGCTGGTGCATGCTATACCCACCATAGCCTAGGAGGTTTATAGTTGGTTGAGGAGGAATTGGAGAGTTGATCAATTTCTCTATATGACATGGGAAAGTAATTACTGTGTTCATTACTTGGCCAATCTTAGTGTCATTTTAGTAGGAGGTATTTATGTTTGGAAGGAGATGCTTGAGGTGATCGACTGACATGTCTTGCTGATAAGTGTGATTTTAGCTTCGATAGCGCCAGGGTTTGGCATTTGTTTCAGTTTTTTTCCCCTCTTTGTTTAGCTTTGGCATCCTCTCTTTCGGCCTAGGCCTCTTTGTTAAAAAAAATAAAAGGTTAATATATAATTTCAACATTTAATTATAAGTTTTTCCTATTTGGTATGTTATAAACACTAAACAATTAAAATTAAAGTAATTTCAACCCCATCATTAAATTAAAACAAACTTTCATTATTTAAAAAAAAAATGAGGCATGGTGTGCAATTTTTCTTAAAGGAATGTTGGAAAGAGAAGGGGAATGAAATTTGGGAGAAATTGCACATCAAGCCCCCTTTTTTTGAAAAAGCAACGACATTTGTATTAATTTAACGGTGAACAAAATTACCTCAAATTTAATTATTTAAAATTTATAATATATCAAATATAAGTTTAGAATTTAAATTGTCTTAGGACTTATAGTTCATGGTGTAGGTTACATATTAACAGAGGGGGAAAAAAAAGCAGTTCCGCCATAGCGGAAGAAAATCCTGCTGCAGTAGATATCAAGCTCAAAACGCACAACAACGTCAAATGATAGCAAGAAGTTGGCATTGGAGGACATGATTTTCAACCAGTGCATTGCTTTTGTTGGGAACTTCCTTAATTATGGCACACGTCTCCCAATGAATCGGACGTGAATGAGAAGTTTGGTGGCTCAGTTCCAGCATTTGCTAACTGCTCCAACTTATGGTTTACATGATTAGGCGAGAAGTCTTATTTGAAGTTATTTTTTATGCACACAAGGATTCGAATTTCGAATGCAAAATTTAGTGTCCTATGTTACGACACACGAAGCGTGGTGTGCGTGCGTGCGTAGGAGGAAATTAAAAGACTGTTATTATGTTATATTGTACGTACGTAACTTATTTCAATAATGAAATTTAGACCCCTTTTATAGGTAACATTTGTGTTTTTAATTCAATAAATTCACTCTTATTAATTGATAATGGTGATTTGAATGTAATGAATATTTCAGTTCATTTCCATAAATTTGTCGGATTATAAATAGGCGAGATTGTTCGCTATGTGTTAAATTAATTACATATACCTGCAATTTGAAATTAAGTGATCACCGACACAAATGGGTGCGGAGCCAAAATTTTAATTAGGGAGTCAGGATTACAAAATAAAAACATTCATATAATTAATTTTAATAAATTGGCTATTACAAAAATAAGTAATTTTTTTTAGAAAACCTTCTCAATCGTAATATTTTAATTTTTGAATAAGTAATTTCATAGTAAATATCAAATATATAGCATTCAAAATATCTTGAAATTTTTGTTACATTACTTCACAAAGTTTGTTAGTAATTCCCATAATTTCTTTTATCAAATATAAAATGAAAGCAAAATCAAATGATATTAATACTTACAAATATTAGTAGCATCACCTCAGTAGAAATAAATAGATTATGTGAAAACCACATCTTTAAGAACTAAAGCAGTTGCACTATACATAGATAAAAGACTACATATATAATTAAAATGAGAACATAATCTAATATCTTCAGGCCACTATAATGTGCTCTAACTTGATCATATAATATGCGCTAACTTAATCCCTTCCTGTCTGAATCTCATCAATTCCAACCAAATTATCAGCAATTTGAAATGCAAAAATATATTATGATTCATCATTGTGCTTAGAAGAACACTTCATTAACAATCATATTCAAGTTTTGAAAAAAATAAATGTGCATTAACTACTTCTTTACCTACAACAACAACATAGCTATATAAAATTGATGAAGTAAACAGTGCACATAATATTTTATGACGGTCGAAAACATATAACCCTTACAGTTTATTTAGAAAAAAAAGAGAAAAAAAAGTTAAAGAGGTCATGGGCCCATATCCCCCTATCTCCACCACTGGACACATATTTGACTGATCAAGATGAGAATGTTCCCACACATTTTCGGCTCCAAAGGGTACAACTAAGTATTCAAACCTTTATACTTGCAGTTCATTGACTTTTTTTGATCTGGCGTTTTCATTATATATTCTGTAACTACTACATCTCATGAGGATGTTGAAGGCATTGAAATATGAATGTACATAGATATAAAAGCTAGATGACTTTGTGTCTACCTCTCAACTTGATGAATTTTGAAAGTTTTTTCAATAAATTTTCAATTAATACTTGTTAATATTTTTTGTTAATTTCTCTCATATAAAACCTACAGATATATCTTTTCAATCAACCCAAAGCTACTCCACAGCCAGTAGATAAAAATTAATTTAAGAGTTCATGAGCAAAATAGACTTTCAAATATTGCGCGAAAAGTGCTCTGAATCCTAGTAAACTCTTAAATGTGCAAAATCAATCTAAACTTTTAAATTCATAGCAAATTAAACCCTATTATTAACTTTTTGTTAAGGCTATTACTATTCACTATGGGGCCCAGTCAAATGTTGACATGGCAATTTCTTGTTGATGTGTCATTTGTTAACTAGCACTATAAACTCTAAATTATTATGCGAGTAGCATCTTAAATCCTGGACTTTAAAATTTCAAGCAAATTACGCGCACCATTTATACATAGAACTTTGACTATTATATAAACCAAATTACCCTCAACATGGTCCGTCGTGGTGAACTTTGTGAAATGACATTTCCCCCTTTTTTTGCAATGTGTTCCAAACCATTGGTATCTCATGATATACTCTATAAATCGATTTAGTTTTATTTTGAATACTGTTTATTTATTTAATAGTAAAAACTTAAGATTTCATTAGAAAAGAAGTTTAAATATCAGAGAATTTTAATTAACTGGTTAGTTTGGGTTTTAACTTCGTTGTTGAAATCGTCAGCTTTTACATCCATTGTTTGTAAAATCCTTTGATATTTAAACTTCTTTTTAAATGAGATCTCAAGTTTTCGCCATTAAATAAATAAACATGATTCAAGATAAGACTAAATAAGAGTTATATAGTCTATAAAAATATGTGATACCAATCGTTTAAAAAACATTTGTCATTTCAAAAAATTATGGGTCATTCGCCATGGCCAACAATGTGTTCATTGTGATGGACTATGTTGAGATTAATTTGATCTATATAATAATTAATATTTTACATATAAACGATGGAGGTAATATACTTGAAATTTCAAAGCTCAGGGTTTATGATGCTACTCGCGTAATAATTTAGGATTTGTAGTGCTAATTAACAAATGACACATTTGCAAGGATTGCCATGTCAATATTTGACTAGGGCCCATGATGAATAGTAGTAGTATTATCAAAAATTTAACGGTAGGGTTTAATTTATTATGAATTTAAAAGTTTAAAGCCAATTTTGTATATTTTAAGAGTTCAGGATCAAGGGTGCCTTTTGTGCATATTTCAAGATCTATTTTGCTCATTAACCCTTAACTTAACTAAAATGTATGACCAGGAAAGTGTCGTTTGGAATGACTAAACTAGCCAAGACAAAAGAGTCACTTGGGTGAATACCAGGAGGCACATCTTATTTCTAATATATATTTTTCGAAATTTCATATGCGTTTGATGATGGTACTCTAAAGCTATTTTGGTGATCTGCATTATAATTAATTAATTAATTAATTAATTATGTTGTTTCTCTCTTCCATCGAAAATTGACTCTTGAAGCACCTCTCTCGAAAGCATCATAAATAAATCTTAATTTGGCTGATTCCATTCTTTAATTTGTTTTTTTTTTTTTGCCTTTACAATCAATGTAAGAGGCCATTTTATCTTCAAGAACATTGGATTTGTATTGCAGGGTACAAATCTACTTATTCCATTCCCACATGGCACAAGAACAACCATTAATGTAATGGAACGAGTGTTAGAAATTTTGTTATACAATACTCATAAAGTACTAAATTTCAAATTTTTGAAAGAGATAGCTTACACAAGGGGGTGTTTTGATCATGAGAATTATTTTAATTTTTTTTAAAAGAAATGAATCTTGATAATTTTCAAGTGTTTGATGAAATTTAATAACTATATTTGAAACACTTATTAAGTAAGTAAATTTATGCCACTCATTGAATCCAAATTCAAGAACATTACGTGCATGCATAATTGAAAATTGAAAGAATATTGTGAAGAAAAATATTTTTAAGAGAAGATATAAAAATAAAAAAATAATACCTAAAATGAATTATTGGACCTTTTTTAATCATATATAAACAATTGATCTCTCAAGTCTTGTCTATCGACTAGCTAGATCTCCACTTTCCGGTGAAAGATCATAATTCTCTCTTTTGTCTCTAAAGCAAGCAAACAGACATGTTTTGTTTACCATTAACTATTCCTGCTATCCTCTTTCTCACATTTATCATTCTACCCACAACCATACTCTTCTTAAAACGACAAAAAGATAATCAGAAACCACCACCAGGCCCACCGTCCCTTCCGATCATCGGCAACCTCCACATGTTGGGCAAACGGCCACACGACAGCCTTCAATCACTGGCCAAAATATACGGTCCGATCATGTCGTTGAAGCTTGGACAAGTTCCTACGGTTGTCGTTTCGTCCCCTGAAGCTGCGGAGCAAATCCTGAAGACGCACGACACCGTTTTTGCATCTCGACCCAAAGTGCAATCAACAGATCCTTTCAAAAAAGGAGTGAGGGGAGTGGTGTTTGCAGAGTACGGTCCATACTGGAGATATGTGAGGAAAGTGTGTACACTTCAACTTCTAAGCGCGTCAAGAGTGCAGATGTCTGCTCCTTTGAGGAGGGAGGAGGTGGTAGCGACGGTGACGGCGCTAGAGAGAGGGGCAGCTGCCGGAGAGGTCGTGGACGTCAGTGAGAAGGTGGGGCAGCTTTTGGAGAACATAATGTACAGGATGGTACTGGGACGTCGTAAGGATGATAGGTTCCAGTTACGTGAGCTCACGAACGAGGTTCTGAACTTGGTGGGACAGTTTAATATTGCTGATTTCATCCCTTGGCTTGGCGTGCTTGATCTCCAGGTATGTCTAGGGCCTAACATTCTCTCTACTGGTAATCAAGACATCAATCAAATATAATATTATATGCTGTTGGGATTTTTGAGGGAGCTTGAAACAATGTTGAAAGTTTTGCATTTGATTAAGTTATATTTAATGACTAATACTCCTCTAGTCCTATTTATAGATAGAGAAGATTAATTTTGATCTTGTTTGTAGGGAACTTCACTATTTTATATATTTATCTTAACCTTCTTATCCTTATTAAATGTTAAAAAAATATTAAAATATTTCTTTGTCTTTATTAGTGGATAGAGGTGAGAATTTATTAAATTTTAAAATAGAGTTAATAAAATTTAAAATTTTTCTTAATTTCAATAAAATATGTTGGAAGTGACTTATAAATAAAATTAATGAGAATATTTCCTTCGATCCTATTTATAAGAAGAGAGAAAAATTATTTGGACCATATTTAGAAGTAAAGACATTAATTTTTATAACAATTTTTTTCATTTACTCCCATTAAGTGCTGGTGAGTTAAAATACATTATTAAATAAGTATGTATATTTAGTATGAATAAATCATTTGAAAACTTATTTAAATTTTTAGATAGGAGTTAATGAGTTTTACAATTTTTTTAATTCTTGTAAAATATGTTGAAAATAACTTATAATGAGGACCATAAAAATATATAATAAAGTAGAAGAACTCAAACTCAATTAAGCCTTGAAATTTTTAGTTGAGATGTGTCATCGTTTTTGTTGATTAATATTGCATGTTTGTTTTTTTCCCCGTTTCTAAGCTTTTAGTTACGTTGTTACACAAAATAGCATAAACGAGAATAATATGTATTTAGTGTTATACTTAAATCATTTAAGGAGCAATTCAACCAATGTTTGCCAGGGTTTGACACGAAAGTTAAGGAGAAACAGAAAGGCACTTGACGATGCATTGGAGAAGATAATCGTTGAGCATGAGCTAGCACCTAAAGAACAAAATGTGCAACACCACAACGACTTCATACACATATTGCTTTCGTTGCTTCATCAACCCATGGATTTGGTGCACGATGATCAAAACCACGTCATTGATAGGGCTAACCTCACAGCTCTTTTATTAGATATGATCATTGCAGCAACCGACTCTTCCTCGGTTGTAATAGAGTGGGCTTTGTCTGAACTCTTGAGGAATCCGAGAGTGATGAAAAATCTCCAAAATGAATTGCAAAAGGTGGTTGGAATGAACAGGATGGTTGAGGAATCTGATGTAGCAAACTTGACTTACTTAGACATGGTAATCAAAGAGACACTTAGGCTGCATCCTGCTGGACCTTTTCTTGTCCCTCGAGAAACTATGGAGGATGTCACGGTTAATGGATATTACATAAGAAAAAAGACGAGGATTATAGTAAATGTATGGGCTATAGGACGAGATCCTAATGTTTGGACTGACAATGCTCATATGTTTTACCCAGAAAGATTTGTTAATTCCGACATAGACGTTCAAGGGCATGATTTCCAACTGTTACCATTTGGTTCGGGTCGTAGAGGATGTGCCGGGACACAATTGGGTCTAGCTACAGTTAAATTTGTTTTTAGCTCAATTGGTGCATTGCTTTAATTGGGAGCTTCCTTGTGGCATGTGTCCCAGTGACTTGGACATGAACGAAAATTTTGGTCTCACAATCCCAAGAATGAAGCACTTGCTAGCTATTCCAACTTATCGGTTGCATAATCAGGTAAGGACTATTTGTGAAAGTATGTTAAATTAATGTGCAATGTCATGACTGATCTGTGCAAGACAAATCAAGAATATATACAGTGACGACTTTGCAATTTTACATCAATATATCAGATAAAATGTTTCTTTTGCTAAAATTAAATGGGTTTGTAAGTTTCTTAATGCTTAGATGATATATATGTTTCTTCCCATTTCTATTCTCCCCAAGGGAAGTTGTGGCGTGTGCGCATTTGTGAGAATCATCATCTTCACTAAATGCCCTTTTCTGTTTTAGATGTGCTTTTGTGAAATTAAAGCTACAATTTTTTACTTCTCATAAATGTTGTCTCATCATAACCCCCCCCCCCAAAAAAAACCATAATTGAATATTTCAGTTTGGGTATCATGGCTTTAACAATATGTTGAAGTTTTTAGTGACTGCACTGAGTATCTCTGCTTATAAGGGAAGGGAGTACCAACATCCATTTCAAGATATCATTTTTTTTCTGTGTAAAAATTGGAATTTTCTATAAACTTCATGTTTAGGGAAGTTACTTAGCTTGAAAAATATCAAATTTGAATTTTCAAAACAATATGCATATTTTTCTAACTTGAGTATCCAAAATATATACAATTATGCCAAAATATATTGAAATCCTAAGAAAAATATTATGAAATGATATAAAATCTTAGAAGTTAACAAAAATAAAAGAGACGTAAACGGGATTAATAAATACACACACACACACAAACTGTTTCCTTAATAACAAGTATTAATGTGGATCTTACAAATAGTGCAGAATAACAATTGAAGATCAATTTCAAGTATTTACGTGGGTGCAGAAAATTGAATTGTTGATGCCCTAAAGCCCAAAATTTGATTTTAAGTTACCCCGGAATAAAACCATTTTCTTCGTCATTTATTGCATCAAATTTTTGTCTAATCCTTACAACACATAGAGATACAATGTTAATCAATTTATAATTGTTAATGAATCACAACGAATTAGGACCAATTGGACATGTGGCAGTATAAATGAATAGCATATTCCAGATCATTTGGGCACCCCCCAAATTAGGTGGTATATTCTCATAGTATTTGACGATTAAAAAAAAAATACAGCACTTTTTTATAAAGATATCGCTGTTTTTATTTTGTAGAATTATATTACTTTATTTTTCAGCACTTTTTTCCATACAGAGGTTACGGGAAAAAAAAAAACATATGAGAGGGTGATTGCACTAGGAGCATGTTGCTCGGATCCATGCATGTTGGTGTGAGTAAGTGGACTACAATACCTAAAGATGTCGTATCTAAATTCATAAATTGTATCCATATGATGAGTCTTACGGGTTATTATTGGCTAGCCGTTAGCGTAATTGTTATCTTCTCCAAACATGTACTAATTATGTGAGACGAAATTGGATGCTTAATTTCCATAACCCTTACTATCTCCAAAATTTTTGTATACATAAGTTATAATAAGTGTTTGTAACCTTTATAAGCTCCCAATAAATATTTTTTAATAAGTACTTTTAATTCCCGTAACATTCCATTTAGAATTAAGTTCTTCAATAATCTCTTTATTAATACTAATTTCTCACTTGAGGTTATTATAAATAGCACTCATTTCACTGTATATGAAATCATAAAAGAATAATATAATTTTTTTTTATCAAAGTGAGAGTGTTCTTTTTTTCTTCCTTAACTCCTAAGCCATAATGAGTTGCAGTACAATTTCTTATGATGAGTTGTCTAACTTCGTCAATCATGATGTATTCACGATTCTAGCACAATTTTAGTGCATTAAAACTATGGAATGTTTTTCACCACACCACAAGTCCCATTATCAAGATATATAGTGATTTCTTTATGCTGTAAGTCCGCATCAACCTCTCACATTTATTTATTTTTTAACTTTGAATATTAATGTATTATATTTTAATATAAACTGAACCTGACGCGTTTAAGTCTTAAAAAATGAGTTTGGTGTTTATTTTAATATCATAAAATTGAGTATTTTAAATCTTTAATTAAATTTAACCTTTAAAATATGTGTTTTAATTTAAAATAAAGATTTATATTATTTATTTTGAATTTTACAATAGCTTAATTTTTTATTTAAAAATAAATATGCAATATTATATTTTTATTAAACAACTTTTAAAAAAATTAAAAAGACACTCCTAGACTCAATACTAAACCCAATCAATAAAGATCAAATTTTAAAAATAATCAATCGATCGATCTAATAATATAAATTAAAACACATAGGCAAAAACCACCATTCCCGGTGTCATAAAAACCACAGTTCTACTAGATAAGCAAAGATTAAATCCCATAGGTCCTGTTTGGTTATTAAAAAGGAACATAATAAAATGGATTGAAACAATCAAAATAAAAATGAACTAAATCACCATTCCCCTTATGGTAAGCATAGTAAAACTTATTAATATATACTATAAATATAGGCATTATTACACCTTCCAAAATTCTAATGAATCATTATTCACATCCTCATGAACTAAATTACCCCTCCCTCTTGTGAATGTATTTACTTACACTCTTTAATCATCTTATTTTTATCTTTATTTTTTCAATATATTTCTTTCATTTCATTTCTAGTAAGCAATGGAACCATAATTGTAAGGCATTTCATTATTAAATCCATCCACTTGTCTCAATTCTATTCATTACCATAAACATATCTTCTTAAAAGCATCACATGGATAAATTCTAGTTTTGGGTTAAAAGAACTTTTGAACCCAAACTCATAAGAGTTCGTCGACCTATTTCTTAGCTCTACCAAAAGAGTTGGGTCTAGTAGCAAGAACAAAACATAAATTTTAATATTTTTTAACCCTAAAGTAAAACATAGTTTTAAAGATGACAGACTCTCACATTTTTATTTCAATAAGGTAAGGAAAAAGTAGAATGAACATAATGGATGGAATGAATGATAAAATAAAAAATTAAAAACTTAACATTATATGCTTAATACATTCTTTAAATTTATCCTATCAAATTAATACGAGTAAATTTTAATTTATTAATAATATTAAATACCTCATCTTTTCACACCTTTTATTAATCTTTACCGAGTAACCACCACGCAACCGCATTAATTAAATATAACGTCAAGAAATTAAGGCACAGGCCTAACCCAAAATGTGGTAGTTGAAAAAATCAATAATTATAAAAGCATGTCGCACTATTTCAAAGATCATCATTGATTTAACACGATTAAATTTTGTTGTCGCTCAATCACTGCATTGCTATGATCTGGTGCTTCTTTGTACCATGTGCCTAAGTGACCTGGTCATAACGATAAGTTTGGCTTCACAATTCCAAATATCAAGTGTTGGCTTGCTGTTTCCACACATTTAATTAATACAGTAATAAATTTGAAAAAAAAAATCATTTTGAAAAGTACCAAGTATTGTGCATTTGGGACCAAGTTCAATTCATAAAAAAATGTCTTACAAATAAGACAAGAACACTCATTAAGTGAGCATATTTAGATCATTTACTGAATCCAAACTCCATAAACATTACATGCATGCATAATTAAAAATTGAAAGAAAATGGTGAAAATAAATATTTTAATATGAGAAATAAAAAAAATAATACCTAAAATGAATTATTGAACCATTTCTTTTTTAGTCACATTTAAATAATTGATATCTCTCAAGTCTCAACTTCTCGACAAGCTAGATCTCTACTTTCCAGTGAAAGATCATAATTTTCTCTGTTGTCTCTAAAGCAAGCTAGATCATGTTTTCTTTACCATTAACCATTCCTAATATCCTAGAGAACAAAACGTGCAGTACCATAACGACTTCATACACATATTGCTTTCGTTGCTGCATCAACCCATGGATTTGCTGCACGATGATCACAACCACGTCATTGATAGGGCTAACCTCACGGCTCTTTCATTAGATATGATCCTCGCGGCCACTGATACTTCCACAGTTGTAATACAGTGGGCTTTGTCTGAACTCTTGAGGAATCCGAGAGTTATGAAAATGTCCAAAATGAATTGCAAAAGGTGGTTGGAATATACAGGATGGTTGAGGAATCTGATTTACAAAACTTGAGTTACTCATATATGGTAATCAAAGAGACACTTAACTCCTGTTTGGTTAATAGAAATGAATAGAATAAAACAGATTGAAAAAATAAAAGTAAAAATAAGATAATCAAAGAGGACATGTGAGCAAATTCATAAGGAAGAGGGGTAATTTAGTTCATAATGTTAAGAATCACATTCATGAAATTTTTTGAGTGTTATGATTTTTACATTTATAGGATATATTAATGAGTTTTATCATATTTATTGTGAAAAAAAGAGTACTATAGTTCATTTTTATGTTAATTTTTCAATCCATGCACTCAGCCCAAAGTCATCATCCAAGCCCATGTCTAGTTCATCTAAGCTCAAGAATTCTAAACATTTGGTTAAATTATAGCATTAAGTGTATAGTTGTCATTGGTAATGTTCTAGAACATTATGTTATAAATACAGATCATACACATGTCTAGGTCACTGCTCACATTCTGTTAGAATCTGTACAATTTGTACACTTTATTGTACCTATGATTGTTCAAGAAGGAAATATAAAATTACTTTAAATTCTTCATGGTATCAGAGCCTTCCCGACTAGTGTCTCGGAATGGCCTTTTTGCCTTCTTCCTCTTCTAACCACTCAATAGGTGCTATGGTCACCACACAGCTTCTTCCCCTACTCACCAGGTGCTAGGATCCTAACCCTTCTAATTTAATTACTGTTAAACTCACCCTTGATAACTACCTTATATGGCATGCTCAAGTTGTTCCTTATTACCTTTATGGTCAAATTTTTTTTGGTTATGTTGATGGTAGTAATCCTGTGACCCCTAAATATCTTCCCATGGGTGTTACTAATCCTAATTTTACCTAGTGGTCTCATCAGGATTAGCTTATTTTGGCTATTTTAATCTCCTTTTTGTCTGAACATCTGATGGTGCAGGTTATGAAGTACCGTACCTCTCAAGCTATGTGGATTGTGTATAGAAAGATGGCTCGAGAAAAATGATTTTGAGAGGATCCAAGTCCCCCAAACACCTTCATATACCAAATAATAAAATTCCCTTTCCTTTTTTTAGGCATATACCAAACGTATTTTGAACCTACAAAAATAAAAAGGAAAAATATCATTCAATGATTGTTGAGTCAATTTAATATTAAATAAGAAATAAAAGATTTTGGAATATCACTATAGAATCAAGAGATTAATTTAAAAATAATTTTAGATGACAAAAGGCTATAATATCTTGCTTTTCTTTTTTAATTGATAAGTAGGCATTCATTACTTAGCGAGTACTCATTTACATTTAAAAACCATTTGTAATTGATAAATTTAAAAATATGAAAGAATTTAGTTGTGGAAAGGACAAGTGTAGATCATAATGATTCAATAAATAGTCATTCATTAATTAACAAATAACTATTCATATTTAACAAGATACTATTTGTTAATTGACAAGTTTAATAATATGAAAGAGTTTAATTGTGAGAAAGGATAAGTGTAGATAATGTTTTAATAAGTAGTTATTTATTAATTTACAAATATCCCTTTACATTTCATAAGAAGTCATTCACTAATTGACAAGTTTAAAAATCTAAAAGAACTTGGTTAATGGGACAAGTGTAGATCATATTTCAAAGAGTAGCCATTCGTTAATTAGCAAGTACCCATTTACATTTAATAAGAAACAATTCACTAATTGACAAGTTTAAAAAAGAAAAATAGGGGTATTATAGTCTTTTCTCATATGACATTATTTTTAAATCAGTCCCCAATCATGTAATGATATTTTAGAATCTTCTAATCTTTGTTTGATATTAAATTGCCTTAGCAGCCCTTGAATGATATTTTTTCAAATAAAAACCTCTTAAAAAGTCTCTTTCCCTCTTCCCTTTGTCGTAAAAATACTCTCTCTTATCAAACATGCATGACTTTATGACTCTCGCTTAATTCATCCTTTTAGTAGAGAATTTAAACTCGAAAGCGAAAAGGAAAAGAAAAGGGCAAAAAGATGGAAATCGTTGGAAGCTAATTAATCAAATGCATCCTTTTTTATATACTATTACTCCTTTTAAATCGTATAGCTTAGTATTATTTTTTCTTTGTGAACATAGTTTATTATTATTTAATTGTTTGGGCAACGTATCTTCAATTGATTTAATTGTATTTGGGCAACATTTCTTCAATTATTGAACTAATTGAAAGGTTTCTTGAATGTTGCTTTCGTAGAAAACTTCTATATTAGTGTGATTGTGGGTGATCTCTCCTCATCAACTAATTAATTGACTTCAATTGCGGTTCCAATGCACCAAAGGCTGTCTTAATATATCCACATAACTTAATGTAGAAACTTATTAATTAAGCTCTGACGTGGCTTATAATATTATTGTAAAAATCTATCTTCGAATGATATTCTTTTTGTGTGGAATTTTTTAATATTCTTTAATCTTAAACATTACGTTGTATATATCTTATTACTCCCTCCGTTTAAAAATATAAAGCATTTTTTGAGGGGTTGAATGTTAAAAAATGTAAGGCATTTTTAGTCTTTTAAGGTATAATAATTGCCTTTTTTTTTCTAAAAGTGTCCCTATTAAATAAATTATTTTATATTTATTTTACGGTATTTATAGGTGTAAATAAAAAAAGATATGGTTAATTTGAAAATAAGTGACTACTTTATTAAGAGGTAAAATTTGGTTAAAAATGCCTTACATTTTTTAATGAAAGGAGTATATTTTTGTTTATATATCATTATCAAATTTTTATTTTGGATAAAGGTGTAAATTTACCCTGAAACTTTTCCTCCAGGAGCACCTAATATCTTGAACTTTTTTTTGAGCAATATTGTCCTAAAACTTTCCAAAACGGTACAATATTATCCTACCATTAGAGTTAACCATTAGTTGACCGTTTTGTCTAATTGGACTTGCCATGTGGTATTTTTTTAAAAAAATAAAAAATGGTAAACGTGCAAATTTACCTTGGGACATTTCCTCCAGGGGCGCTTGGTATTCTCAATATTTTTTAGGAGCAATGTTGCTTTGTTGTCAAAGTTGACTATGTATGACTTCACTTGCCACGTGATAGCCACATGGCATTTTTAAAAAATTAAAAAAAAATGTTGTCCCCTCCCTCCTTGTGTCTCAGTTGCACATTGCTCTCCTTCCTTTACAATAGGTCATTCTTCTTGTCTTCATTCCTCCCTCCTCCACCTCGGCATTTGCAAGACAAGAGCTAAATGAGAAGCTCCATAGCCGTCCCCCACTGAGTTGTTACTTCTCCCTACTTGATGTTGGTCACTCTAAGTTTTTTTATTTTTTGTTCTTGTTTTTTTGGATATTTTGTGTTGTTCTTGAATTCTTGGGTTCTTAATTGCATTCTTTATTTTCTTCCTCTCTACCCCTTATCTTTGATTGTTTTTCGATGTTGAAAATTTAGGTTTGATTGTTTTTTTTTATGTTGAAAATATGAGTTTAATTTTTCATCTTAATATTATGAGTTATTTTGTATTTCTAGTGTTGTGGATGAAGAAAAAGAAGAAGCTAATGAAAACGAAGCATAGCTCTTTTTATTTTTTTTATTTTTTAAAAAATACCATGTGGCTATCACGTGGTAAGTGAAGTCAAATAAAATGGTCAATTCTAACAGCAAGGCAACATTGCTCCCAAAAAAAATTAAGGATATCAAGTGCCTCTGGAGAAAAATTTTCAAAGTAAATTTGCACATTTACCTTTTTTTTATTTTTTTTAAATGGCACGTGGCAAATTCAATCAGACAAAATAGTCAACTCTGACGGTAGGGTAATAATGCATCGTTTGGAAAGTTCCAGGGCAATATTGCTCCAAAAAAAGTTCAGGATATCAGGCGCTTTTAGAGGGAAAGTTTCAGAGTAAATTTACGCCTTTACCCTTTTATTTTTATGCATATACACTTTAATTTAATATACAAAATTAAAATATAGTTTATTTACGCCTAATTAACCTGACCAGGCGCAACTGTTATCCAATCATTGAAACTTCAACCAGCATATCAACATGCTTAATGGCAGTTCTGATTTTAGTTATCCAGACAAAGACAAATATTTTATTAATTTTCTACCTAAAGTATGAAAATAGGGTATGAAAAAAGATAGACAATGCAACAACGTATCCTAGCCAAATCAAGGGAGCAAGGGTGAAGGCTAAGAGGGATCAGCAGGGCCACAACCCCCCTAATTTTCTTAATTTTTTAGTAAAATATAGGGATTATGTATTTTTGACCATTTAAGTTAGCAAATTATAGAAGCTTTGAGATGCTACATAAAATTTTTATTTCAATTTAATAGCAGTCTTTTACACATGTATAGTTTAACTGTTGTAGTAATTTAAAGATATAGTTGTCATAAAATCTATTTATTTTCAACAAGATAACATTACAATATCTCTTAAAGCATTGATATCATTTAATTCTACTGTTATTTTATATTTGATAAAAGAAATTATGAGAATTATTACTAACAAACTTTATAAAGCATTGCATCAAAAATTTCAAGATATATTGAATGAAGAACAGGTCAATTGAAAGAATTAAATAGTAAATTTAATAAGTAAGTAATAGAGTTTTTTTTATATTGAACAGAACTTTAGATCTCAAGGATGTATTTAAATTATTCAATGTTTACAGAAAAGATGAAATATTCTCTAATTTAATGATAGTTTATATTGATAAGGAATTTTTTAAAATTTTATCATAAATCATAATAATTGTTATGCCATGAAAAATTAATGAGTAAAACTTAAAAAAATGAAGATATATATATATATATATATTTATTTATTTATTTTTGTTGTGTGTGTGTGTGTAAAATCAAATATAAATATATAAGTTGAAATATTTATGTTATGTTAATGATATATATAAATTTAATTTTTTTTCGATTATCATATATGATACGTCATTTTGGTCCCCTTCACAAAATTTTCTAGCTCCACCCTGCAAGGGAGAACGAAAATATATACAAAAGTAAAGAACACTTTTGCCCATTTGTTGAGGGTTTGATTTTATATTATACATCTGCTGCTTTATTCAAGAGCAACAACATACAAAAAGAAAATATCTTAACATATTATATCCCACATATTTTTAAGGCCAATCCATAAAATTATTTCTCTTTTTTTAAAAAATATTAATCCTTCATCAAAGACGCCTTTTGCAAGTGATGCAAACCATTTACCCACTAATCATACGTACATTAGCATTGATTATGATTTATTTCTTGAATTAATAAAACTTTCGATGAGTTGATTTGCAGTATTTAATAACGTGGAAAAAAATATAAAACCTTTTGAACTTTTTTTTTTCCTTGAGGGACCTATAATATCTTAAATTCCTTTTCAAGTAATGTCATCCTGAAACTTTTTAAAACAATGCAACATCAACCTACCATTAAATTTGATGACGTTGAAATACCCTTCTGGCATGTTTTTCATTTTTCCTGACCAGGAGGGGTGTAGAGCCTAGCAACTTTCAATCGCTGGCCCAAAAATATGGTCCCATCGTGTCGTTGAAGCTGGGACAAGTTCCTACGATTGTCGTTTCATCCCATGAAGCTGCGGAGCTATTCTTCAAAACACACGACGCCGTTTTTGCATCTCGACCTGACTTACAAGCAGCGGATCCACTTTCTGACGGTATCAAGGGCCTAGCAAGTGTAGAGTACGGTCCGTACTGGAGATATGTGAGGAAAGTGTGTACTCTTCATCTTCTAAGCGCGTCGAGGGTGGAGAAGTTTGCTCCTTTGAGGAGGGACGAAATGGGAGGGATGGCAAAGTCACTGGAGAGAGCTGCGGCGGCGCGTGAGGTCGTGAATCTGAGGGAGGTGGTGGGGGACCTCGTAGAGAATATAATTTATCAGATGATCCTGGGATGTGCAAAGGATGATAAGTCCAACTTAAAAGGGCTTGTTGAGGAGGCATTGAGTTGTACGGTACAATTCAATCTGGTTGATTATGTCCCTTGGATTGTGTGTTTGATCTCCAGGTATGCTAAATTGAGTAAAGAAAAATTATGGGTGTGTGTGAGAGGATGAGTTACAAGCTCTTTCATCATACATTATATATCCAACATTGTTGAGATTATAACTCAAATTGTTATAATTTATAGTGACTATTTTTATTCGTTGGCTTGGCTTAAAATCTATCATATTTATAATTGAGATTTTAGAATACATTATTTATTAGATAAGTTAATATTTTTAATATTTATTGTGAAATTATTTCTTGATCAATGTCCGTAAATTTCTTGTTCCTCATATCCGTAGTCTTCCCGCATTAAATTTTCTGTTACTTCTGTACAAATTTAAATTATTTTATATTTTTAATTTGCACTTATCTTTTGCGGTTCCCTGCCAAAGCCGCTAAAAAAAAAAAAAAAAAATCAGTCACTTCTGTATGCCAGGGCTTGCCACGAAAATTAAGAGGAAATCGTAAGGCAATTAAAGATATGCGCTGGAAAAGAGAATGATGAGCAGCACCATAAGGATTTCATGCACATAATGCTTTCCTTGATGCATCAGCAAACGGATTTGAAGGACAAGCAAAAGCATGCCATTGAAAGAGCTCACCTCAAGGTTATTTTGTTAGAGATTATTTTAGCGGCAGGTGACACTTCTAGTGTTGTAATTGATTGGTCTTTATCCGAGATTTTGATGCACCCGAGAGTAGTGAAGAATCTCCAAAACGAGCTCCAAAACGTGGTCAGAATGAACAGAATGGTGGAGGAGGCTGATCTAGCAAGTTTAAGTTACTTAGATTTGGTAATTAAGGAGACTCACAGACTACATGCACTCGCACCTCTAATCAATCGAGAAAGTTTGGAAGATGTCACAGTTAGTGGATATTACAAAAGAAAAAGGTCAAGGATCATCATAAATGTTTGGGCTGTAGGACGAGATCCTAAAGTATGGTCAGATGATGCTTGTATTTTCTATTCAGAGAGGTTCGTTGATAGCAATGTAGACGTTCGAGGACATGATAATCAACTGTTACCATTGGGTTTAGGTCGTAGAATATGTCCAGGAATTTAGTTGGGGATGACTACAGTTAAACTTGTTTGCTACAAAACAAAAATTAACTTTCAGCAGCGATTTTTGTCGCCTCTAAAAACTAAAAAGTTGTTATTAAAAGTTTTCAATGACGATAAAAAGTTGCCACAATATTGTCGCGAGAGCTCTTATCACTGATTTTATTTGCAGTGATAATAAAGTTGCTACTAAAAGTTAAAAATCTTTGTCGCAGTAAAAAAAAATTGTCACCACAAAAAAAATAGTCACCATTAAAAATTGATGCAAAAACTATCAATCAGTGGCGATTTTTTTGTTGTCACTGAAAAATAATGCTAGTTTACCTGCTCATGCGACATCACGTCACCCCTCCACGTGGTGCCCTCACCTCAAGCCACGTATTATCATGTTATTAATTTATATTTTTATTTCACAAGTGCCTCCTTCAAAGTTTGAACTCATGAACTCCTCCTTTTGTCATTGAGTTGGAATGAACCTACAATTTATTATTATATAATTAATATATATATATATATATATTTTATTAAACTATACAAATACACATATATCTTAAATATTAAATATTATAAAATACTAATACTATCATTAAATACTTCAATTCAATTCTTTTAATTTATTAAAATTATGAAATATATTATTTATTTTGTCTAAAGTAAACTATAAGTATAATTGATACAATATCAATTGTACTATTTATTTTAATTTTTTTACTTCTTGAAGTTATTATATTATTTATTTTAATATTCATATTTATGACTATGATATAAAAAATGTCTAAGAATAAATAGTAAAAATATAGATGATTATACATTAGTTGATAATTATTATTTTTTCTAGCTAGTTTTATTTAAAATTTTATTTTTACTTTTCATTTAACAATAACTCTTAAGTAATGTAATTGGCTTATTTTTACATTACATTTTACTTTTTTAATTAGTTCTCATATTTAAATTATAATTTTATAAGAAAATTATACACTATACTGTCTAATTTTTTATATTTATGTCGCAAGATAGCATCAAACAAAAAAAAATCATATAGCATCACATACATAGATATATTTCATATATTATAAAAGTTAAAAGTAGAATTTTAGAATATCTCATTTTTCTTCTTTTCATCTTTCTATTTCCTATCATTAGTCATCAAATTGGAAACATCTAAATAGGCATGAAGCTTTAAAGTTAATGGTATTAAATGTAGAATTTGAATTGAAAAATTAGATTAGATGAAATATCATTCTATGAATGAATAAATTTAACTATCACATGTCTAATTATTATAAACAAGTAGTTTATTGTTTAAAATATCAATTGAATCATAAAACATTTTAAAATAGAGATTCATCACCACATTATATATATTCCAAATTAATATATCAAACATTAGGTTTTTGAATAAATTTATCACTTTACATGGGGGAATGCATTAGTCAATTCAATTAGATTTAGTATTAATTGACCAAAACTAATTAACCAAATTGGCCTATATAGTTGGATTGAATGAAACCAAATATTACTTGATGACAAAAATTGATGTAAAATAATATGGTTTGGCTTAATTCTTTATTCTAGTTCATTAGCATTAAATAATACATTAACCTTATCTTAAAATAATTTTATTATTTTAAAGTTACGATTTAACCATAAAATATATTAAATGAAAATTTACTATGTTATTTTATATATTCATTACAAAATTACAATAATACAACAAAATTAATGTCTTAAAATGTTAAATATTATATTAAACAATAAATAAAAAATTATGATGATAATATAAAAATCAAACTTTTAACAGCAACATTCAAAGTTGTCACTGAAAGTCTCACTTTTTATGGTGACTCTAAAAAATTGCCGTTGATTGTCGCCACTTATATGTCAACTTATATGTCAACTCTAAAAAGTCACGACTGATATTTCGCTGCTGAAACTTAGATGTTTGACGGTAACATGCACTTGTCGTTGTTAAAAGTTAAACTGAGTAGCAACTTTTATTATCACTGTAGATTGTTATTGAAAGTTTTTTTTTTTTTTTGTAGTGGTTTTAGCTCAATTGGTGTACTGGTTTAGTTGGGCGCTTCCTTGTGGCATGTGTCCTAGTGACATAGACATGACCGAAAAGTTTGGGCTCACAGCCCCAAGAATGAAGCCCTTGCTAGCCGTTCCAACTTATAAATTGGGTACAGATCATCCAAATTAATCATGGTCAAGGATTTGAGTAGTGGCTTTATGTCAACGTGAATCCAGTACGTAATATCTATCTTCTATTTAGGTATATAGATAATCCATTTCAGTATTTTTCCTGTTTTACCTTCGATTGTTTAACTTGTTGAGTGCTATGTTTCAGGTTTAATTTTGTGTATCTTGCTCGTTTGTAATGTTATTTAAAAAATTAAAAAACGGCAAGAAACTATCTGTGGTTCGTGGTTTGATGCGCGGTGCGAAAGTGCGTTGTTTTTTTGTACGCATGCCATATGAAGAATTATATATGTTGTAATTGTAATAAATTGTAATTTATTTCAATAATATTTTAAGTATATAGCTTAATGTAAGTCTTTCTATTCTAAATTTATTAACCCCTTGTTTCTATCTTGACTAATTCAGTAGCAGGAAAGTTGATATATATTAATATATCTATCAATATGTATATATTGTCACACATGAGTAAACGATCTTACAAATACATAGTACGTATATAGTAACACATAAAAGATCTTACAATTGTGAACGAAATGTGTTCAAGTATCAAATTTGATACTTTTAAGTGAAAACATAATTATTAATCTCTATAGTTTTATCAAATTTTACTTTTAATCCTCATAAGGATTGAAACTACTGAAAACTCTAAAACTATAGGAATCTAATTAATAAATGTCACTCAATTTTGTTGAAACTATAAAGACTTAAAATACTTAAAAAAAACTATAAAGACTAAAAGCAAAATGTAATGAAATTATGAGGACCTATAATTGTATTTTCCCTACTTTTAAATTCATATTTTGATTTATTTTTACTTTTTTAAACCCGAAAATAAAGTTTGAATTAAAGATATGCTAAATTTTAATAAAGATGTCACGTGAAGCATGCAAGGAAAATATGACATCTTATAATTTAGCTTATTAAGATATCTAAGAATAAGTGAACTTAAAATGATATAAAAAGTCTTACATTAAAAATGAGTTTAATAATTAATATATAATAAAGAAAAATAATTTATAAATTTAAGTTTAATATTTTGAGTTACAATTAGAGACATGTTTTGCCTGGCACCTAATAAAAACCTGTATCTCAAAATTCAAGTTTATAGATCTTTCTCATTTATTATATATCAATTACTAAGAAGAACATTTCTATTGTCAAGAAGAACTAAATTGTCATATGTACATTACATGAGTTTGAGAAAGAATATTTTCACGCAACAGTTTCATGCTTACAATTATCACCACCGACAAGGCTCGATTTAATTGAAATAGTTAGTTTTTCATAATGTAGAAAATTAAATTAATGTTTGAATTTTTATTAAAAAAGCTACTCATATTTAGTATGCCTTGAACATAATTATACGCCATAAAACAATATCTACATGTATGCAAGAAAAAAGTATTTCAACTATCACCATCCGAAAGTGAGATTCCCCTTTTTTGGGAAAACGCTTCATTGGTCCAACTCTTCTGCTTACTGAGCAAGGATCTATATGATCACCACGGGGCTGCTTTCAAGGATTACTGCTGGGCCCATCTTCTAGATGACATTGGATAGGCCTGTTTAACTTTCATTGTTATCTTTAGTTTTTAGTTTACTAGTTTTTAGTCAGCTCGCACCTCTGAGCTGTTCCTTTTTTTCAAGTGTAACTTGCCTTTTTTATATACATATACATATACATACATACATACATATATATATATATATATATAAGTTAGTGGGCTTATCTACTAACAGTAATAATTAATCAATAATTATTTTGGAGAATGACATTTCGGGAAAAATGCATCAATTTAATTTCAGTTTGGGATAAAAAAAATTTGAAAATTACAGGTTGGGACCTTTGCTTCTTGACAAATGACAATTGATTTTTCAGAATTTAACATGGAACATTTTAGGAGAAAAGGTCCTAAACAGAAATTTTGAAATTTTTTACCCCAAAATGAAATTAAATTCATGTATTGGTCCTAAAGTGTCATTGTGGCTAAATTTTTACTTGACTCTTAGTTATAAAATCCAAACAAACCGAACCCATTTTCTTGTACTAAGGCTGTTCCATCCAAAGCGAAGAATTTAACACACGTTTCCTTAAACATTAGCGATTTCGGCTGTCCTTTTAATTCTCATATTCATATTCCTTTTGTCCACTTCCATGCTCTTCACAAAACGACAACAAGATGATCGGAAACGATCGCCAGGACCGCCATCCGTCCCGATTATAGGCAACCTCCACATGTTGGGACATCTAACCCACCGCAGTCTTTAATCGCCGGCCCAAAAATATGGTCCCCTCATGTCGTTAAAGCTGGGACAAGTTCATACGATTGTCGTTTCATCTCATGAAGCTGTCAAGACTCACGACACCGTTTTTGCATCTCGACCAGACATACAAGCGTTGGATCCATTTTCTAAAGGAACGACGGGTCAAGCATTTTCAGAGAGGAGAATGTGTACCCTTCATCTTCTAAGCACGTCGAGAGTGGAGAAGATAGTTCCTTTGAGGATGAAAGAAGTGGGAGTTATGGTGAGGTCACTGGACAGAGCTGCGGCGGTGGGCGAGGTCGTGGATCTTAGTGAGGCAGTGGAGGACCTTATAGAACATAATCTTTAAACTGATATTGGAATGTGGTAAGGATGACAGGTGTAACTTAAAAGGGCTGATTAAGGATCAACCAAGCTTGATAGTAGGGCAATTTAATCTGGTTGATTATGTCAATCATTGGTGTTTTTGATCTCCACGTATGCTATGAGCCAATGTCTTTCCTCCAACTAGTATAACATCTCATTTTTAAGTATTGT